CAACATGGTGAAACCCCATCTCTACTAAAAATAGGAAATTAGCTGGGCGTGGTGGCTCACGCCTATAATCCCAGCACTTTGGGAGGCCCAGGCGGGTGGATCACGAGGTCAAGAGATCGAGACCATCCTGGTCAACAAGGTGAAACCCTGTCTCTACTAAAAACACAAAAATTAGCTGGGCATGGTGGTGCGCACCTATAGTCCCAGCTCCTTGGGAGGCTGAGGCAGGAGAATTGCTTGAACCCAGGAGGCGGAGGTTGCAGTGAGCCGAGATCGCCCCATTGCATTCCAGCTTGGGCAACAAGAGAAAAACTCTGTCTCAAAAAAAAAAAAAAGAAAGAAAGAAAAGAAAAGAATCTGTTATTGAACTGAAGGAGATGGAAGATACTGTGTTTAGTTTTTTAGTTTAGAATAGTGGTTTTCAAAGTGTAGTTCTTGGACCAGCAGCATAAGTGTCATTTGGGAACTTATTAGAAATGCAGTTCTTGGCCGGGTGTGGTGGCTCATGCCTGTAATCCAAGCACTTTGGAGGCCAAGGCGGGCAGATCACCTGAGGTCGGGAGTTCAAGACCAGCCTGACCAACGTGGTGAAACCCCGTCTTAAAAAAAAAAAAAAAAAAGAGAGAAAGAAATGCAGTACTTAAGCCCCACCCCAGGGCTACTGAATAAGAATTTGTAGGCTCGGACCTAGCCATGTGAGTTTCAGCATGCCTTCTAGATGATTCTGATGTACATTAAAATTTTGAGAAACACTGAGTAAAAATTAAGTGGGATACAGACAGGTTCTGTAAAGGCTTTCTGTAGAGCTCTTAGGACTCTGTAGAACCGCCTATATAGTAATTTGCTATCTTCCAGTAATGGCAAATGGGACTGCCGTCTTCCAGTAATTTGCCAAAATGACGAACACAGAGGGAAAGAGGAGAGGTATCTAATAGATGTTCTCTAGGCCTTTTAGAAAACATGGGGTTGTTCCTTTGGCCATGTATATGCGTATCTATAAGAAAGGTGATATTGTCAACTGGGCATGGTAGTTTATGCCTGTAATCCGAGCACTGTGGGAGGCCGAGACGGTCGGATCACCTGAGGTCAGGAGTTCAAAACCAGTCTGGCCAACATGGTGAAACCCTGTCTCTACTAAAAATACAAAAATTAGCTGGGCGTGGTGGCATGTACCTGTAATCCCAGCTACTTGGGAGGCTGAAGCAGGAGACTTGCTGGAACCCGGGAACTGGAGGCTCCAGTGAGCCGAGATTGCACCACTGCACTCCAGTCTGGGTGACAGAGCAAGACTCCATCTCAAAGAAAAAAAAACGGAGGATGATATTGTGGACATAATGGAAATGGGTACTGTTCAAAAAAGATTGTCCCCCAAATGTTACCATGGCAAAACTGGAAAGTTCTACAGTGTTCTCCAGCATGCTGTTGGCATTGTTGTAAACAAATAAGAGCAAGAGAATTAATGTGTATATTGAGCACATTAAGCACTCGAAGAGCCAAGACAGCTTCCTAAAATGTGTGAAGGAAAATGATCAGAAAAAGAAAGATGCCAAAGAGAAAGGTACCTGCATTCAGCAGAAGCGCCAGCCTGCTCCACCCAGAGAAGCATACTTTGTGAGATCCAACAGGAAGGAGGTCGAGCTGCTGGGCCCTATTCCCTATGGATTCATAGCATAATAGGTGTTCTCTGATCTGTTTAAAAAAAAAAAAAGACCCTGCAGCTGAGTGCAGGTGGCTCACACCTATAAACTTGGCACTCTGGGAGGCCAAGGCAGGAGGATTGCTTGAGCCAAGGAGTTTAAGACCATCCTGGGCAACATACTGAGACCACATCTCTATATTTTTGTTTTTTGTTTCAATTAAAAGATTCTGCCATTTAGATACTCAGGGTACCATCTATTTTGAGTTCTGGATTCCGGTCTTAGATGACCAACTTCTTCCATCTTTTACTGCCACTTCTACTCACTTTTTCCCCCTCCTCAAGAACACATAGCTTCAATATCCGTAAGATCATCATCATCCTTTTCTTCAACAGCATTTTCTTATATCCTAGAGATTGCCTTAAAATAAGGAATTGGCTACAAAGTAATATCTTGGAAAGAAAAATAGAATGGATCACCTCTGTAGGGTGCTTATATAACTCTGGAACTACATTTATATTTCCATTAACCGCAAAGTCCACATGAGTCATGCTTATTTTTCTGTCTCAGGCTACTAAAATAGAACATGTTCTCTAGAGGAGAACATCAGGGAGTTCTTTCATTTGTACCATTAGCTGAATAAACGTTGGTAGACCTCAAGTTGTGATCTACATTTTTTTTTCCGTTATTTAGTTTTTATGCACAAATACTAAATAATATGTGGTTGTTATCCATATTGTAATTGTTTTTTTTTTTTTTTTTTTTTTTTTTTTTTTTT